GGACAGCATCGGACTGGATATAAGCAGCTTCGTTTTAACTTAATTACTCTTTAAAGGGCATTATCTCCAAATACGCTCTCTCTTGGTGTTACTGGGTCATAGGCTCAGACCATATGAATTTTGACCGGGACATATTCAGCCCATTAAACAGGACCTGTCTCTATGTTGAACCACCAGAGTGTTACAGAATAGATGGGGTCTGTCCCTGAAGGTTGGATCATGAGAGACGGTTGCAGGCGTTCTGCTTCTGCTCTCTGGAGGCCACTCTCTTCCCTGGACCAGTGGCCGCCGATGGTCCACTGAGCTTTTTATTTTGAGGCTGTCAAGCATTGTGTGGATGTTTTTTTGTTTCTTCCGTGAAGAAGCCGGAAGCGTCCGTCGTACAGCCTGACTGAGGAGACTCGACGAGGCCTCTACCAAAAGCACGGGAGTGACGTTGTGAGCGGGGTCCTCCGCCCAGGCCAGCCCTCCAGGACGACTGGCAGCCCTGCCTGACAGGCTTCGCCTGCAACCTCATGAGAGAGTCTACAACTCCCCAGCTAAGCCACTGCCAAAACCGTGTCTGACCCAGAGAACACTGTGTGGGCCTGGATACGATGTTTATTTTGTTTTATATCCTTAAGTCTAGGGCAATTGGTCCGATGACATCAGGTACAGTAGATTATACAGATTTCTGGCAACGGGAGAGGGTGCTACTTCACAAAACCCTAAAATGTGCAGTGAGCTGTGGGGATGGGAAGTGGCCAGAAGCCCTGAGTACTTCTAGAGAGAATTCTGAGGGAAATCCCTGAGGGAGGATCACAGAAGTCTGCTAGGTTGGAGGCCCGGCCTTCAGGAGGCGCAAGGACGGTGCTTTTGGAGAAAATGTGATTGAATAATGTCATCGGTGTGTGGACCCTTTGATTCTAGTGTTAGGCAGGTTTTCCTAACCATGTTCCTGTTTGACTAACGTGGAAAGCAGGATTTGATTTGCACTTATGACCTGGGTGACGTAGCCAAAAAGAGCTCCAGGTGGAGCATTGGGAAGGATGTCACCTGGAACTCTTCCTTTTCCACCGCGGGTTAGGGAATCCTGTTCTAGAATTTCCAATAAATGGAATCATGTAGTATATGTTCTTTCATGTAAGGCTTTTTCCACTCAGCATAATATTCCTCACATTCGTCCATTTTGTTGTACGTATCGCGGTTTGTTCCTTTTATCATCGAGTAATGTTCTCCGCACATATCACAGGGCATTCCGAATCCATTCTTTCACAGGCTGTTTCTTTCTGTTACTCAGTCACTAATGAGTGGGTTTCTCCGCCTGTTCCTCCAGGGCCGTGCTGAACTTGGGGCTTCTCTAAGGGGCTTACGTTCTCCCTGGGAAGGGAAGGAAAAGGCTTTGAGGTCCTGAAAGGCACCTGGGCCTCCCACCGGGGTATCATCTCGGTTGAGAAGGCGCTGTGATGGCTCTTCCCAAACCTTCACCCCCATTCCCAAGTCAGAGAAGGGCCTCCGCCTTCCTGCGCTGAAGAGCCCCCTCGCGTCCGTGCCTGGGAGTGAGCTCTGCTCCAGTCCTCCAGGCTGGCTCTGAATTGAAGAACACCCACCTTTGAGGGTTCTGAGAAAACCTTTCCCTCTCTTAACGAAGCTAGACTCTTCCAATAAAATTGTTTTTTCTTCGAGACCAATGCCTTGCTTTCCATTTGAAAAATTCTGTCTGGAAACCCAAAGCCAAGGACTGACTTGTTCTAGGTCAGGGTTTCTCAGTCGCGGCTCTGCTGGCATGTGGGGCTGCTGATTCTCTGTCGTGGGGGCTGTCCTGCGCATTGCTGAGAGTTCGGCAGCACCCCTGGTCCCCCCCACGGATGCCCAGAGCAGTACTCCCTCCCCCCTCAAGTCGTGACACTCAAAATCACCCCAGACATTGCCAGATGTCCCCAGAGGGGCAAAATCGTCCTGGGTCAGGGACTCCTAGGTGGTGCTCACCCTTCTCCTTCCACAGGCAACAAATCTTAATGGCAAAGCTTGTAGAAGTGGGGGCGGGAGAATCACTGAGAATGGAAATGACATGGGGTGATTTTAAAAAATATCCTTATTTACGTACATTGTAAATAATAGGATAATAATGGGATCATTTGAACTTAACACTGGTAACTTGCTTGGTAAAATTCAACAACATATCATGAAGGTCAACACGTCTACTGTGTGATGGTGAGGGGCACAGGCTCTGAATCCAACAAACCTGGGCTCAAACCTGAAGCCAACAACTAACAACCGGGGGAACCTGGGGGGGGAACTGAAAACCCCGGGCCGCAAAACCCCCAATCAAAAAAAAAAAAGGAAAAGCCAAGGTAAAAACCGGTAAAACGGAATGGGTTTGGAATTGGAATGGTTTTTTTTTTTCCCCAAATATTTTCAACCAAAAGTTGGTTGAATCCACAAGTGTGTAACACACAGATACGGAGGGCCAAGGGTATACATTTCTTATTATAAATCAGAGTCTCACCAAGCCAGATAGAAAGCATTTTAGGCTTTGTGGGCCATATGGTCTACATTGCAAATATTCAACTCAGCCTCAACAAAAGCAGCCGTAGATGGTAATTGATGAATAACCGTGGCCGTGTGCCAATAAAACTTTATTTTTGAAAACAGATGATGGGCAAGATTTGGCCCAAGGGCTGTAGTTTGCCAGCCCTGCTCTACCTCACGCTTCCTTATACTTGACGACAGCCCTTTAGGACAGAGGCTGTCAGTGTTCCTGGACTGTATTGTGGAAACTGAGGCTCAGAGAGATTGAATGACCTGCCCAAGGTCACCAGCATAGGAAAAGTCTGGAAAGAGACACATCAGCGTGGACAGCGGCCCAGGGAGCACAGGTGGAGAGGAATGAGGCGGCTCTCACCCTTTCTAGCACCTCTGTGATGCTTTCATTGCCTTTCAGTGAACACATGCACCACTGTGTCATTTAAAAATTACCTACAATGTCAATCTCAGGGGCAGACAAAGGTGAAAACTAATCTGAAAATATTCCCCAAAGCCTTAGGGAAACTCATGTCACCTGTGCTCTCTGTTGACCTTATGCCTTAGTGTGGACCAACGTGGAGCTGCCGGACCTGTCAGTGGCCGAGGGAATCCCAGTCACTCCCGCGGAGATTTACGTGGACCAGGACCTGGCCCACGAGGACAAGGTGAGGGGTGTCAGGGGAGGGCAGAGCCACAGCAGCAGGTGGACTGCAAGGGGCTTGCCGATGCCTCTTGTTCTCTGTGGCCTAGAAGGGCCCTTCCTCCTGCTTCCGAGAAACGGCTTCTTCTTCCCAGGACATCCAACCAAAAGTGTTATCCCAAATAACAACAATATCCGCCTCCACTGTTTGTCAAGCACCTACTGTGTGCTAGACTGTGTCCTGTGCCCTGGACACTCATTAGCTCGTTTAATCTTCGATGTCTTCAAAGCAGATTTTATCACCCTCACTTTGCTGGTAAGGAAACTGAAGCTCAGAGAGATTAAGTAACTTGCCTAAGGTTGCACAGGGCAAGCGGAAGAACTGAGCTGCAAACCCAGGTCTGGTTAACTTCTCAGCTGGTGCTGGAACAGTGGTGGGGAAAGCACGCCTCCTAGCAGGAGGGAGTGAGAGCTGAGGTCAGTGACAACTGAGCAAACAAGAAAGAGAGACTTGTTAAAGAAACAGAGAGGTTTAGAGAGAGAGACAGGAACTGCAGCCAGAACAGGTGAATTTAAGTAAACCTGGGAAGGTTGGAGCCAGGTGGATTTCTCCCCACTTAGCCACAACCTGAAAATTATCCTTAAAGCAACAGTCCAACCATGTCCTGCTTATTTAAGGATCAGGGCCTGGGCCTGCAGTGGTTCTCAGAGTGTGCAAGGAGCAGAACCGTGCAGAACCACCCGGGGTCTTGTTGCACCCAGGACTCACGTGCCTGGGAATCTGCAGCTGCAGGTTGAGGGTAGTTCCGACGCAGACGGTCCTGAGACCAGACTTTGGGCAACGTTGCAGTAAGGTGAGAAGCCAGGCCTGGGTGCCCTGTTACTCACTGCTGTGTAACTTTAAGCCAGTAAGTCTTGGGCTGCCTAGCCCAAGACTTACTGGCTTAAAACAGCAATTTATTATTGTCCACAATTCTGTGAGTTGATTTGAAAGGTTCTTCTGTTGGCATCTTCTGGTATCGCTCATGCGGCTGAGATCAGCTGGTGGCTTGGCGGGGGCCGATGGTCTCAGAAGGCTTCATTCCAGTGTCTGGGACCTCAACGGCACTTCCACCACTTTCTGTTGGTCAGAACAAGTCACAGGGAAGCCTAGATTTAGGGGATGGAGGAAATAGACTCCACTGTTGGATGGCAGAAGCTGCAAAGCGTTTGTAGCCATTTTTTTAATCCACCACAGTTGCTAAACTGGAAATATGATGCAACCACAGTTACCATTTTTTTCTATTTATGAACGCTTCCTGCCCTGACTAGCCAGGACTCCTTCAAGTGCACGTGACAATAAACAAATTAGTTTTGGGAGGGGGAAAAAGCACTTATTGGCTTATCTTGTTGGAAAATGTAAAGGCCTACTAGCTTCAGGCGTGGCTGGATCCAGGAGATTAGATGATACCATCAGAACAATCAATTTCTCCACTCTTTCCCTCACAGTTTGGCTTCCTCCAGCAGGTCTCCAAAAACATGGCCATAGACAAAATCACGTCTATAAGTGTTAAGTTTACAATCTGAAAGGAAGCAGGGATTCTGAATAGGCACCGGGTGAGCATGGAGACTTTGGGCGACTCATACTGGGTGAAGCAGCGGGGCTGCCCGGGAGCTGGAATCTGAGGCTGTCCCTTGAAATTTTGCCACAAGCACTCACAAGGACCCAAAGAAAACCCCTTGGCAGCTGTTGCCAATGCCAGAGGGGCTCCCTCATGACCAAAACCCTGTCGTTCCCCAGGCTGGGGAGCTAGAAAGTCATGGGGCTGATTGGGGGCCCCCTGGCCATGAGCTGGCCCAGAAACTGCCCGTTTCCCTCCCTCCAGCCAGCGGGAATTGCTGGGAGGGCCCGGCTTCCTTCAACAGTCATCGATCAGAAATCCCGTAGTGGCACGTGCAAACACATCCGGGGAATCTTAGTTTCCATTCTTCCTGATGTTTTAGTGATGACTTCTGATGAGAGGTTCGGGGGATTTTTTTTTTCTTTCCTTTTTTTGAGAAACCTAACAAATTCTTTGGCTGTGGCGCTTTTCCTTTGAGCGATGGAGGACTGAGTTAATTACACCTGTGGGTAAATCCGCCAGCCCAGGGTTTTTTTCCAGTCTGAAGTTTACAAAGCCCGTACACATAAACCATCATTCCCCTCTCATTTATTTTTCATGACTCAGTTACCTGGAGTAAATTGTTATGTGAATAACCAAAAGAGGCAGGAGTGCCAGAAGAGAGGAAAGGGAAACGAAAGGTTTCAGCGTGTATTAAATTTTTAAAGTTACATAGCCCCATTATAGTCAGAATGTGGTCGAATAGAATGTCATTTTCCTAATTACCTTTCCTAGGTCCCCAGGCACTAGACTGAGGCCTGGTAAGTTAATTCCTAAAAATATTATAAGTAAACTTTCTGGCAACAAAAATTCCCACGTGGGATGGTTGTTCTCAATATGAAAGTATGATCGCAGAGAAAGGAAAGTTTCCGTGCCTTTGAGGTATGAATGTCTATTATAGGGGTCTATACATACTCTATCACATATGAGCAGGTGATTTTAGCCAAACTCCTCTTTCTCTGAGCTTCCAGGGACAGAGATAGCTTCAAATCTGCCATTTCCCTCCCTGCCTGCCCTTGCCTTCCCAAAAGAATTACACCCTCATTTTCCTACCTTTTTTTAACCTGGACCCACATCTAGTAAGCCTCCTGTCTCATCTTCACCCAGGATGAAATAATTCTGCTGCTGGGGAAAGAGGTGAGCCGCCTCTCCAACTTTGAGATGGAAGCCAAGTACAAAGACGCCGTGATAATTAACCTGAAGAACGAGGTGGCCCAGCTGACCCAGAAGCTGACGGAGAATGCCAACTCCAGGCAGAACGAGCGGGAGATCTCGCAGAAGTTTCAGGTCCTGGACGAAGACATTGATGCCAAACAGAAAGAGATCAAGAGCTTGAAAAGCCAGGTAGGACTCAGAGCCTTAGAGGTACAGCTCGGGGTGGCAGCTCTCAGGCCAGGAGCTGGGGAGCCCGGGGGCACCGCCGGGGGCAAGCCACCAAGAGAGTCAGAGAGGGGGTGGTTCATGTAGCACAGTGGTTAAGAACACAAATCTGCAGGGTTTAGAGACTTGGCAAGTTCCCACCATTAGCATTTATTAAGCGCCAGCCACATGCAAGCACTAGGGCAAAGTACTTTAGTTGCATTAACTTATTTAGATTTCCCAATCTCTGACACTTCCATTCTATAGATAAGGAATCTGAGGCAGTCCCAGACACACCCAGGAACTGGTTACAGCTTGCACAGCACATTAGAGGTGGTGGTGGAATTCGAACTCACGTCTGCCTGCTTGCAAACCCCACGTTCTCACCCCACTTCCTACTTCCCCCCACGCTGTCGCTTCAGTGGCCGCCTCTCACCCCCTCCAGCCCCAGCCAGAGAGAGCTGTGGCGGGGCAGTGGGCTGAGCAGGGAGAAGGAGCCCCGGTGTTCCAGACACCCAGGCCTTTCACCAAACCCTCGAGGCCGTTCCTGGCTCACTTAACAGGGAATTTCATCACACTGACCTACCGTTCTCCCCCTGGAATTTCTGGATTTACCAGTGATGTTCCCCTCTCTCAAAACTAGATCCAAATTCCTTCTTTCGTTTTTTAAAGAACTACTTTAAAATTGGCTGGTGATGTTCTGCGTAGGTTCTCTCTCAACGAAGTTGTTAAAAAGCAATGGGCCACCGTGACTTCTGGCTTCAGTGCATAATGCCGCTGAACCCGTGGTCACGCCTGGGCCTCTGCTCTGGCTCCCTGCGTACGTCCGGCCTCGCCCTTCGCCACCCGGCTCGAGGTGCGCGGTTTTAGTTAGTCCTGGAAAGGGTGCTCTAGAAGTACCTAGGGTAGGCCTGGTGAACCTAGGGGAGTCTTCCAGGGACTGTCAGCTCCATGAGGGCAAGGACTAGGCCCAGGTACCTTCCAGAACTCTAGCAGGACTGTGTTCATTCATTCATCCACTTATTTGTTTATTCAAGTAAATATTTGTTGAGTGTCTACCCAGTGCCAGGCCCTGTTCCAGCCTCAGAAAGTCAGCAGGGAGCAAGGCAGACGTGACCCTTGCCTTCCCCCAGTGATGTTCTAGTGAGGGAGACAGCATAAGCAAGTTCACAAATGTACGCTCCAATACTCCAACAGTGACCCTCCTTCCAACCCGCTTTTAAAAGAACAGTGAAAGCGGCAGGTTTTGCAGGAACCGCTACTGCAGACAGCTGCCTTGACATACAGCTAACTCACTCGCTGAGGAGCGTGTTTCTCACGATCTGAACCCAGTTTTGCAATCATATGGAGAAATAATCTTTTCTGTAATCCCCCCCATTTCAGAGCTTTCCTGAGTAAGGTGACATGTCTTCTCTAGGTGCATGGACGGGGATGAGTAATTATCACGTATCTTTGAGTCAATGTCCACAGGTCACAATTTGAGTATTGTTTCAAGTGGCTAGTGATACCTGGAAAACTGTTTTTTCACCAAGAAATTATCTCCATACCATTGCCTCCTCCTCACCTTGATCGTCACTTCACTTCACATGAGGATATTTTATAACAAGGCCTCTCTGAACTAGAGGGTGCAGTTGGTTTAATCCAAATTGCTTCATCTGCTCACATTTTAGTTTCTCAAGTATTCTATTGCCAACAGAACATTCAACTAGAAGTATAAGCCACCTGGCAGGTTGATTTATTGTTCTGATTAGTTTATATGTTCTCCTGGGTACCCTGGAAGTATGTGCATATTGATTTGCTCTCAAAGATCTTCGATCCAATACAGTACCACTGGAAAATGCTCACCTCCGTGCGGGCTGCACTGCCCATGCTAATTAGCAGCCGAATTATTATCTTGAAGCAATCACTTTTCCTAGCACTATTAACTTTCTTATGATCCAGTGCCCATTTTATTACACAATGTAACAGGCATTAAACATCTTGGGATTTATGCCAATTATAGACAATATGGATATTTATTTCAGCAGTGAAAGTAACGAGGAGGTTGGAAGACTATTTGGAGTTTTCCTGCAATCTGAAATCCTAAAGCTCTGATACTTAGTTTGAAATATTTTATATCTGTCAGACAGCACTGGAGTCTTCGAGGGGCGTGTTTTCCCGTCCCTTCTGGAAGTTTGTCTCCGTGCAGTGCCTCTGGTATCATACAAACAAAATATCATACAAACAAAATCGTCAGGCTAAGAAGAGCTAGGAACACTTTTGATTTTAATTACAAATACCTTTTGTGGGAAAGTTACATTTCCCCCACAGAGAACAGGAAGAGGAGAAACTATTTTTTTTTTTCATTCAAAGTCTCCAAAGCAAAGACATGCAAAAGTATATAGCCTTGGGGAGGGTGGGGGATGTTTCACCCTCGTCCCTCCCTCTCCTAACATACACCGCTTCTCCACCGTCTCAGATGCCCCAGGGAAAATGTGAGTGGTGCGTGAAATTAGCCATATAAATTGTGAAACCTTGATGCTTCTGTTAATTCTACTATTGAAGCATAATCACAAAAATTTCAGGGACAGACACCGAGAACAAAGGCTGTGAGCGCCATCTGGTGGTGAGGCGCACGGTGCACCTGTACCCACCTTACCTGAGTGTCCCCCACCCCATCATGTTTTATGCTATGCCTATATGACATGATGCAGGGATTAATGGGGACTCTTGTATTTCCTCTTAATAACAATCACTCTGGTGTTTAAGTGAGCCTAGACAAAGCTTACAAATGCACCCCCAAAATATTACCAATCTACCTTCCCCAAGACAGGCAAGAGAAGCCAAAGCTAAACACACCAGGGAACAATCATAGCTAACATCTATGTGTCATGTGCCAGGCATGGTCTGAGCACTTTTACACATACTAATCAGGGGTCCACAACCCATGGTGAGTTGTATAATTATTGCATTATATATTACAATGTAATAATAATAGAAATAAAGTGCACGATAAATGTAATGTGCTTGAATCATCCCAAAACTATCCCCCCTCCACCGGTACGCGGAAAAACTATCTTCCATGAAACAGTCCCTGGTGCCAAAAAGGTTGGGGACCGCTGTACTAACTTATTAAAATACCTTCACCAAGTCCATGAGGTCAGGGCTAGCAACACCAAAGTTATAGAGTGAGAAATGAGACAGAATCCATGTGTCCCTATGTCCACGCACTGCAGTGGCAGAGACAGAACGGGGAGATGGCAGTTCTGGCTCCCGGGTCCAGGCTTCTGCTGCAGGTTCCCAGAGCCAGGTGATAAGACGGGAAGAACTAGAGCCAGGTAACTGAAGATTGGATTGGAACTGCAGCTCCACCGCTGACGAGCTGGGCAATCCCGCCCAGGCAGCCTCAGCTCTCTGAGTCTCACTTTAGTCACTTGCAAAATGGGGGACATTCGTGGGCGCACCCTACAGGGATGCTGCGAGACTCTGTTGGAGTAGTGTCTGCGAGCTATGACCTATTGTTGTTATCACTGTTAAGGGAATTAACTTTATAACCTGCTTCCCTCTCTTGAACTTTGCTCTGTGCCCAGTCAGTGCTGGTGGCCGGAGCCCACAGCTGGTCCGTTCATGGCTGAGAGCCCAGGGGTTGCAGGAACCCACTCAGGAGTCAGGTATCCCCAGATGAGGTCCGTGTTTGGATCACGTAGGAAGCGGTTGGTGGCCACTGCAGGAACAGGCCTCCCCTGCCCCGTCCACTGATAACCAAAGAGCTCAACTTACCCCACATCCCAAAGAAAGATGAATCGGCATCTTTCTGTCCAGCTTGGGAGAAGCGCCCGTGTGCCTTGCAGACGTGGGCTGGCCCCTCTCACAGCGCTGCCTCCTCCCACAGATCAGTGCCCTACAGAAAGGCTACAGCCAGGTGCTGTGCCACACCCTGTCCGAGCGGAACTCAGAAATCTCATCCCTGAAGACCGAGGGCGAGAGCTTGAAGAGGGACAACGCCATCTCATCAGGTGAGCTCTGTCTGGAGTTGGGCCCGGGCGCTTCCACTGCTTCCCCCATGGTCGTGGCCACAGCAGACATCACCAATCAACCGCCGCACTTGTTACTGAACCTGGCTGCAGCTCAGAGTTCTCAGCAGCCCTTCAGGCAGCTACCGTCTATGAATTCAAGTGCGTGCTCAGGAGCGGTTTCTCTGCCATCCGGTTCCTAGCACAGGGCCTGGCTCAAAGTCAGCCCTCAGTAAATAGTTGAGCAAATGCTACCTGTTAGCTAGAAGGCCTGCTGAGCACCACCCTCACCAGGAAGGACACAGGTCACCGCGTGGCTCAGGCAGTCCCGTGAGCCAGTTTGCTGTGGATGCAAACTAGAATGTGAACAAAGTGGGGTTGCCACTTTAAGGCAGCCAGAGCCTTACCCATTTCACCCTAGTGCACTTGGGCCCCAAGTGATCACATTTTGCTAATTGGTTCAATGCTGAAGAACGTGGGTGGGGAAGGGGCAGCCAACTCATGGCCCAGCCTTGCGGGGCACAGCTGTTTCTAGCCTGATCCACTCGTTCATCCACTCCCCACATTTACTGAGCACCTGCTAGGTCTAGGCACTGTTCTAGGCAGTGGGGAGAGAGCCCCGAGCATGTATTCACGGGCCTCACATCTGGGAGAGAGTGACAGACAAGAGCAGGTAAATAAACAAGGCTGCTTCAAAGAGACCAGCCCTGCAGAGAAAGCAGCAGGGTGGCAAAGTGCCTCAGGGGTGAAGCGAAGGGAGGATGGCTCAGTGAGTGGGCAAGGGCAGTCCCTGAGGGGTAGGAAGGGCCATGGGGGTGGGCAGAGGGTGCGCCTGGCCTGGCCGAGGGCAGAGTGCACAGACCCTGAGGCTGGACTGAGCTGCCACGTTAGAGCAGCTGCAGCCAGGTGTGGCTGGGTGGGGGACAGGACCAGATTGCAGGGAGGATTTGGGATTTTATTCTAAGTGCAGTGGGAAGCCACTGGGGTTTTTATAGCAGAAAACCTCACGTTTAGAGACCTGAAGAGGATGGGGCCATTCACAGAGAAAGAGGGAAGCAGGTGCGGGAGGTGCTGGGCCGGGCCGTGCGCGCCGCCCCTGACGCACCCACTCCGCGGCAGGACACGCGGCCGCAGCCGGCAGAGCCAAGCCTAGCACTGAGCCCGACGCCAACCGCCGGCTGTATGATCCACGTGCTGTGCCCGGGTGGTTCCCTGCGCCTCACCCTGCAATTCCCCCTGCAGGTTTGTGCCTCTGCCCTTCCCTAACTAGTCTCTAATGTCCTTGGATACTTGTGAGCGCCTCCTGCAGCAGCGGCTCGAGGTGCTGGGAGGAGGAGGAGGAGCTCGCTGGGCCCTGCTTCCTCCCCTGCGCCTGCCCGTTGCATCTCACCCCTGCTGCAAGCCGGTCTCAGACACCACTTCCCCGTCAGGAAGTCGGACAGACCTGGGCTCGAGTATAGCGTGGGACGGGCTAGACCCAGGCTACTCGAACGTTGGTCCGCAGACCAACAGCAATGGCTTTGCCTAGGTCCAATTTCAGCCCCCCCCCCCAAGACCTTGTAATCAGAACCTTCATTTTCCCAAGCCCCCAGGTGTTCCGTGCGCACACTCAAGTTTGAGAAGTGCGGGGCTGGGTTAGGCTGCTGTGACAAACAGTCCCCCAGCTCTCAGTGGCTTGCGATAGTCTCATTTCCTGCTTCCGCCTTGGGCTCACCAAGGTTCAGTAGGGGCCTTGCTCAACGCAGCCTCAGGGACCCAGGCTGGCAGAGGCCATCGAGAATCTCATCTTCATGATGAGAGAGGCAGGCAGAGTAACAGGGCCTGCTTTTACTCTCCTGCCTGAAACAACTAGAAAAACAAAGACTGGGCAAAATATCTGAAACAATAGCTTCCATATATTGGACCCCAAGAAGCCCATGACCTTGGTCCGGGTGGAAGGGGAAACAACCGAGATGAGCCCTACAGTTGCCGGCTCACTGCTGGAGAGAGTGCCCAGGCCCCAGCAGGGGGGACACCCAGGCGCAGCCCAGTGGCCTGCCCGGCTTGGGGACATGGAGATTGGCCCTGTTCAGCACAGCCGGAGCTGCCAGGCAGAGGCAGGGAGGAGAGGGATGTGCAGAGAGGGAGCCCCGGAGACTGCAGAGGATCCCCCTCAGTCTTCAGCAGACTCAGGACTGCCTAGCACATGCATGTGGGCAAGAAAAGGACCACCAGAAAGGAGCAGAGGGAACAATCTGGAAGTTCATGTAGGCCTGAGAGTAGTAGTTCACCTTCCCACCATCCAGAAAGGGGAAATCTTTAACACACAGAGTGGCTGGTGGGGACTGTAAAAGGGGTAGCCTCAGGCGTGAGGCCAAATGAGGTCTAGAAAGGCCGCTCTGGTCCCACCTAAGAAGCTGAAGGCAAGCCCCACGGGGATGCACCTGTCTCCAGGTGGCATAACTGTGCACCAGGACAGAGCTGGTTTTTAAGATGAAATTCTGGATCATGTTGTTCCTTATTCCATATTTTAATGCCTTCTTGATTGATACCTACCCGTAAAACTGGGATGAATGTTTTTCCAAGAAAGGAATCATACAGAGATAATCTAGTACCACTGCATTTATGCACCTTTCTTCTCACTTTTCCTCAATGTGGTAATATAATAATATATTAGCTGTCTAGGCTGGGCGCGGTGGCTCACACCTGTAAACCTAGCACTCTGGGAGGCCGAGGTGGGAGGATCGCTCAAGGTCAGGAGTTCGAAACCAGCCTGAGCAAGAGCAAGACCCCATCTCTACTATAAATAGAAGGAAATTAATTGGCCAACTAATATATATAGAAAAAATTAGCCAGGCATGGTGGCGCATGCCTGTAGTCCCATCCCAGCTACTCGGGAGGCTGAGGCAGGAGGATTGCTTGAGCCCAGGAGTCTGAGGTTGCTGTGAGCTAGGCTGACGCCACAGCACTCACTCTAGCCTGGGCAACAAAGCAAGACTGTCTCAAAAAAAAAAATTAACAAATAATAATAATAATATATTAGCTGTCTAGTGCTACATAACGTTATCTCTAAGTGCAGTGGATGAAACAACCAATATTTATTATCTCACCCAGTTTCTGTGGTTCAGGAATTTGGGAGTGACCCAGCTCTGGCTCAGAGCCTCTCATGAGGGTGCAGTTGAGATGTCAGCTGGGTCTGCTGTCGTGTCACTGAAGCCTCAATGGGACCCCCTTCCCGGATGACTCACTCACGCGGCTGGTGGCTGGAGGCCTCAGTTCCTCACCACGGGGGCCTCTCCCTAGGGCTGGTTGAGCGTCCTCACAACATGGCGTTGGCTTTCCCCAGACCGAGTGATCTAAGAGAGAGCAAAGAAGCCACAATGTCTTTGATGACTCAGCCTGGGAAGTCACACGCCGCCTTCTCCACAATATCATATTGGTGACACACACTGGCCCTATTCAGAGCAGGAGGGGCTGCACAAGGGCATGAATAGTCGGGGGCAGGGATGACTGGGGCCACTGTGGAAGCTGGCTGCCACAAGTAGTCAAAGGTCCCAGGTGACACACTGTGTGTTGGCCACTCTACTAGGGTTTCATGTGTATCCTGTCATTTAACCCTTGCAGTAACTCGGCAGATGCAGTGGGAGGCTAAGTAACTTATTCAAGACCACTGAGCTAGTAAGTGGTAGGGACAGTTACAGACTCAGACAAGTGTGACTCCATCTAATCCAGCAACAGCCCCCAACACGTCCCCTTCTGCCACAGGCCCAGCTCGTGGCCTCTCCTGGTCCCTGTGTCTGCTGGGCCTTTGTTCCCCAGGCCTGGCGTGTTGCCTGTCTGAGCTCTGCAGCCCACAAGGACCCCCTCAGGTGGTTCCTGTCCCCAGCAGCATTCACTGGCTTCTCCTTACTCTCACTTGAGACCTTAGACAAACAACGTTCGGTGGGCTTTGGTCTCAGCCCCGTTCAAGCCTCCGGAATCCTTGGGGACACCTCCTTCTTCAGGGCCAGGCTTGTCACAGCTGGCTAACAGTGGCAGCAGCGACAGTAATCCTTACTGCCCCTTTGACCTCGGTGAGTCTGTTTTGTTTACAGGCATGGTGTCATCTTTGCAAAAAGATGTGTTAGCAAGGAATGAGCAAGTTCAACAACTGAAAGAGGAGGTGAACCAACTGAAAAGTCAGAACAAGGAAAAGGATCACCAGCTGGAAGCCCTTGGCTCTACAGTGAGTGTCCGCGGCCTCAGCATCCCTTGTCGCTGATGGGTGAGAAGCAGCTCAAGTCACATGACGCGCCCGTTTCGTTTACCGTGGGCCCTTACTTTAAACTCCCCACACACACGCTGTGGTGTGGTGAGGCCCGTGCCCAGGGCCTAAGAGGATCGCTGCTGAGGGGCCACTATATGAAATGCCCACCGAGAAAGACTGGAACGAACGGGAGGCCAAGTCCTTTGCAGCTTTTTAAAGAGCAGTGCGCATGTGGCTCAAAATAAGCGAGATGTAGATTCAAATCCAGCAGACATTTTCTAACACCCACTATAAATCAGTTGGTTTAATCGCAGCCGTGAACACACATCTTAGCATATATTTCCATGGCAAGGCTTAATGTTAAAGCAGAATAGAATCTCACTGCGTGCAAGAGGACCACAGCTGGCTTCACCTCTGTCCCGGTCGCCACCGGTTTGCACACTTACCTTCGAAGCAGAACGTGTGAAGGTCCAGGTGCAGTTGGTCATGGAGACTTGCGTTTCTTCCCTTAGACTTTAGTGTGCGTAAGAATTGCCCTGCATGAAATGAACCTGTGAGGCAAGTTAAGAGCTTTAGAAATGTCACTTTGATTATTTGCAAACTTTACCTTCAGTGCTGTGACTTTAGAACTCCGGCCCTGTAGGATAAGATTGAGCAGTGTCCGTGTGATCTGTTTCAGTGAGTCCAGGGAAAACCCAATAGCTTTCATCTCACGTGGCAAACGCCCGATTCGCAGCGGCTGCCCGGTCGGTCAGCCAGGCCTGCGTGGGTGCCACGGTGGGGGTAGATCTTGAGGGTCCACAGAGGAGGCGGCAGAAGTAACTAACATCTGGCGCTGCTGACAATGCCCAGTTTGCAGCTGGGGCAAGGCAGGACGGGCAGGAGCTTTAGGGTCAGATGAACCAGGGTCCATGCCCAGAGCTGGGTTTTGTTGTAACTGATTTGAGCTTCACTTCCTCATCAGTGAAATGGGGATAACAAAATCATCTTCTGAAAAGTGAGAGGCTGATTTTAACTGTGCTCTTCTGCCTCTGCACCTGGTTAGCCGCCTCGCCAAGCCCTCTGCATCCGTTTCTCCGGAGCAGATTGACTTCCTGGATTAAACGTGCGATCGCTGGGTGTGTGTGTGTGTGTGTGTGTGTGTGTGTGTGTGTGTGTGTGTGTGTGTGTGTGTGTGTGTGTGTTGGGGAGGGCGATGGGTAGAGCTGACTCTTGGTGGCAGAAATAGAGGGACACGGCACCTGTTTGGCGATTCCACCTCCCGCAGTGCACTGGGGTTATTTTTGCCCCCATTTCTCCTTCCCTCTTGACCTTGAAACAGGGTCTATGTTCTTCTCCAGCCTGTGCCTGCCGTTAGCACACGGGCTCCCGGCGACCAAGGCGTTACACGAACGAACACTTGAAACGCCTGTCTTTCTTTTCTTTTCCAAATTACGTATGCCACGTGTGTTCATTTTAGAATAATACATAGATAATAGTGGCAAGCAAAATTAAAGAGATAAGAAGAAAAACGCTACCCCAAGAAATTAATGTCAATACTTTAGCGTATATTCTTAAAATTTTGTTTCTATATATTACCTAGAAGAACTATATGTGGCATATGTAACAACAAATTTAAACTATACTCATTTTTAAGTTCTAAATAATGACTGTTTTCCCAAGTTAATGAATAAAAGCTTTTATCATTGGTCATAGGAGCCACGTAGTATTTTCTTGCACGCACATGCTGTTAGAAAGCAGCCTCCGGTTGCTGGACTTTTTGTTTTCCCACTGTTGCTAACAACACTGTGAAGAACATCCTTGGTCCTGCAGGTTCCTTGACCTGTCCAGTCACTGTCCTTAGGACATGTTCCTAAAGTGGAACTTCTGGGTCAAAGAGGAGGCACATCTTTATGTTCTAGGTGCCTGCTGCCGCCAAACTGTGCGTTTCATTCCCCACTAACTACCAGGGCAGCCGGGGCTCTGAGGAGTAAATTGCAGGAAACGCCAAGAGCCGTCCCGGCTCGCCAGGGCCCCCTCTGCGGGCATCAGTGGGTATTCTTAAACCAGACTGTCCCACGCCGGAGCTCTCTTGTGGTTTAGATTGCTGGATTTGGAAGGTGAAATGCCATCTCTATTCCTCGGGTCTCGTGAGGGAGGCGACCTGGGACCCACGTGCCCGTCAGACACGACGGCCTTGCTTTGGGACCTGGGGGTGTGACTGGACTGGAGCAGCAGGCGGGACACGCTCTGGGGCTAACACGGGGCCTTGGAACCCTCCAGACAACCCCACCTGGCCACGCGCCCCTTTCCTTGTCGTCCTTCCCCGCAGTGCTCAGCGCTGAAGGAGGAGCTGAGAAGGGAGGAAGCGCACAAGGAACACAGGGACGCCGAAGGGAAAGAGCTGAAACTCTGCAAAAGTGTAAGCGGAACTTCCTTGCTCATAGATGCCGCCAGAAAAACTAGACTTTGGGCCGGGCGCGGTGGCTCACGCCTGTAATCCTAGCACTCTGGGAGGCCAAGGCAGTAGGATTGCTCAAGGTCAGGAGTTCAAGACCAGCCTGAGCAAGAGTGAGACCCCGTCTCTACTATAAATAGAAAGAAATTAACTGACCAACTAAAAATATATAGAAAAAATTAGCTGGGCATGGTGGCGCATGCCTGTAGTCCCAGCTACTCGGGAGGCTGAGGCAGGAGGATCACTTGAGCCCAGGAGTTGGAGGTTGCTGTGAGCTAGGCTGACGCCACAGCACTCTAGCCCGGGCAACAGAGTGAGACTCCGTCTCAAAAAAAAGAAAAAAAAACTAGACTTTGACCTTCAGGTTCTTGGTAAGATCCTTGGTCCATCACGAAGCACAAAGCCCTGGGGCCTGTGTTCATGTTTTTAAGTAGTCTCAGAATTCCTTGGTTTGCTGCCTTGGCCCCCAGGGGAGCGATGGACAAAAGACCACGGAAAACACGCTCCGGATCCTCTGGGCCGTTGGCTCTTTCCCCTCACTGGCTGGCACAGGGAGGGGGGTGGGTGCT